GGAGTTTAGAGTTGTCTTTTTTAATTTTAAAAATTCATATTTCTCCTACCTTGTCACTTACCCTTTTTTTATTTTTTATTTTTGTCACTTACCTGTTTTTTTTGCCACTTACCTTTTATATTTGGTCAATTTTTTCAATTATAAAAACTTTTTAAGAGTCTTTCTGATAGATAATTTATAGTTTGGTTTCAAGCATGCTCGTCACTCTATTGTCTTCATATATAAAAACTTTTTAAGAGTCTTTTTAAATATATCTTCATATTGTCAAACGATTGATTGATTCCTCATACTTTTAAGTAAATCAATCATGTCCACGTAGTGTAAAAAATAAACAAAAAAAATTATCAGTCCACTTTTTTTTTGCCTACGCAACAGTCCATTGTTCTCTTGTTTTACTGTTTCTGACTTCTTATTTTTTTATTTTATTTTCCATTTTACGTTTTTCTTTCTTTCTCTTTTTTTTTTTGTTTCTTTCTCCGTGTTAGACCGATAGGCTCCTTCCCCCTCTTTCGATAGCCCAAGGCTTAGGAGTTAGGACAGAATGGACATTGAACAATGACCATTTTCCAATGAGCTTTGGAAATTATAGCCGTTAAGATCATAGCACTCTAAAGCATATGTGTGACATTCGGAAATTATTCTAACTTATAAATAAGTGTTTTAACCCTTTAAACCCATTGTGATACACAATAAACTAAGGAATGAATTTTATTTATTGAAGTAATTCCTTATTATCATATGATTAATTAAGGGCGATAAATTGCCTAACTAATTATTGTCATATCCGTCTAGCCTCGAAATGCATCTAGAAGACGCCAAAGTTTACTACTCCCTCAGTCCCAAATTGTAAGATACATTTACTATACACTTGGTCAACATAAATTACTCTTAATCTTTTACTTTATACATCAAAAGTTTATAAAATTTGAATTATTTTTTGCAGGTTTTGTAGCGGTTTTAATGTAGTTTCTGAATATGTAAATTTTATTTTATAAAACTAATTTGAGTGTTGAAAGGGATTAATTTGCTTTCTCGTCAGTCAAACATCGTAAACCGTAAAGTATCTTACAAATTGGGACGAAAGGAGTATATTTTAAATTTGCTTATCACAATGGTTTTTACATGTAATGAAGGGAAATTTATCTATATATTACTAAAACTCATGTCGATCAATTTCTATAATATGACTAACCATGTTTTTGACCTGACTAGAAATTCTAAACCATCTAACTGATCTTGCAAATCATGGTTCATTTAAATCATTTCCTTGTTTTTAGGATGAATTAGTTACTTGTTACAATTGAGATAATGACGGAATCTAAGTATGAAAATAGGGGGGATCATGGAGTCATACATTGAGAAACATAGCTTCCTTTAGTCATAAAAGGGGTAAATATCTCTAGAATGAAACCATGTCATAATATGTACTCATAATGGAATAAGAGAAATGTTAGATATTTTAAAGTCATACTTGAGATGAAAGATCTTGGGAAACTCAGTTGTGTTGGGAAATCACCGAGTAGGTTAATAATAATTGACGAGTTGCATATATCCAAAAGAGTTCTTTGGATAGAATGCAAACGGTTAGAACTCCCATTATTGGTCAAAATATGGGTATTAGACAAGATCCATTATTGAAAGGTTATTGGGAGAAGGAATTCCATGTGTAGTTGCAATATGCAAATTATTGTTCTTCGATAAACACACTCGACCAAATATTGTTAGTATATATGTCCTAGCAACAATCACTTTTTAGAGATATATGTACTTGATCACATTCAGTTTTATATATTTGATATATACGGTATTACACATTGATGATTAAGTATTTTGATTGTCAATATCTTATTCATAATTGTGTTCCCTTGGACTTATGTTGTCAATAAGTAAGTGGGAACTTATATGATATCACATAAGGTCCTAAAATAGCCCCAATCAATGATCATCAAGAATGGGATATTGATGATATGCGATAAGATTGGTATGTGGACTGCATCATACTATTAGAAAGTATAGTTGATCTCACAACTATGAGTTCCTGTAATTCATGATGGTCACATAGATATTTTAGAGAATATTGGCATACCCACCGAGAAACCATTTGATAAGTTCTATTCATGTGTCTATGAGATTATCGGCGTATAGAGTAGTGTAATAGTCCTCCGACTTGAGGTCAATACGTACTACATGTGCGGAGTGATGTACTTTGACCATGATCAACGCTTGCACTCCAATCGGGGTAGATACGGCATGTGTTGGGTGCATCACGAAGCACATGGAGTAGTAGTTGAGCCAAGAAAGGATTCATTCCTCATAATAGATTAAGAGAGAACATTATACTTCTCATATCTAGGTGGATCATAAAGTCATTGGCCAATGCAAAGATATATTCGTTTTGGATATCGAATATGATCGTTATGGATCATCTAGAAAGATTGAGAGACAGAGACTGAGTTATTGGGATAGACACTATATCATGTTCTAGACTTAGTTGAATGTTCGTTGAATGAAAGCACCGTATCACTATGAGCTCTATATTACAGGGAGTTTGTATAGTCCTCGCAAACGTCCTTATACATTAAGTTTGTCTGGAGAATCGTCTAGGGATTCGCTAAGACCTTAATTTGATTAGTGCTTAATATATAAGGCCCTATGGGTCACACAACAAGTGATTATACCTTCCGATTGAATTGTTAGAAGGAATTAAATATTATTAATTGGATTAAATAATATTTAATTCGTAATACTGAAAATGAATTAAATATTAATTAGATTAAACATATTTAATTCATGAAGCTGAAGGAGAGTTCTATTTGATAGAATTAATTAAGTAAGATAAATTAGATTTATCATACTTAATTAAGATGTATTTATTATTAAATAAAGTAGATATTTTCTTTTGTAATTTGGAATTAAAAGAAAAGTAAATAAAATAAATATTAATATATAATAATTAGAAAGTGGCGTGCAGCCACATCTCTATTATTATTATTATTATTTTGTTTTGTTTTATCTACTTATTTAATTAATTAGGAGTATTGGTCCTAGTAGGATTAGAACTCATTAATTAGAAAGACTTTCATTGTGATTGGGAAACTAGTTTCGAACTAGTATAAATACATCCTTCTCCTTCATAATTTGTAGACCAGTTTTTAGATTCAGTATTACCAGTTTATTTCCCCGCAAAGAGATTTCCTAGCCTTTCTCTTAGGGAGATCTAACCGTTCTTTCGGAGAGGAGAAATCACGTGGATACCTAAGGTCAAGGATTATCACCGCTAGGCTGGAAGATCTGTAAGTTCTAACTCAGATCTGTTATAATTATCATATTCGTTATTTTGTCATAATCAGGAAAGATCTGTTTGGGAAAATTTTTAAACTTCCGCTGCCGTACTTTCGAGTTACGTTACATCAATTTCCTAACAGTGGTATGAGAGCCAAACTGATTTTAATGACATTATACGAATTTTTGGTAGATATTTTCGTTTGAAAAATCTGACTTGGGGTCGTATTAGATTAAATTTTTGTTTTAGAATCGACTTCATAAGAATTGGTTTGTAGAAATTAAAATCTAGAAGTCCACCCATGTGGAGCTGCTCCTTAAGAACGACGCATCTCACATGTGCTCTTTTAGTTTTTGTTGTTTATTTCTTTTCTTTCTGGATCAATCTATGATCTCAAGATCAGAAAAGTAAATTGCAGAGATTGAGTCACGTTAACCCAACCATGTTGCAAAGTTAATTTGAGAAATTAAATCTAATCGGTCCAAGATCGGATCTGTATTCTTTCTTTCGTGTTTGTATTTCTCGCTCTTTGTTGATCGAACTGGAAGATCTAAGGAGCGTTGTGACGGCTGATCAATTCATGCTCGGTTCGGCTGCGACGCTAGAATGATTGAAGGATCCGAGGAGTTTGGCGGATTTTGCGCAATTATGGGAGGCTGGGACTGCCGGCATCGGAGACCATTATATTGTTCCTCTGTTCTAAGAATTTCTTTCTGGTCCGTCTTTGAGAAATAGATAGTCTCTAGGAGTCTAGTACCTGTTTTTAATTCTTTTAACAATTGTCCTAAGTCTTTTAAAAACTTTGGAACGTTGTGTTGCGGTGCACAACAGAGGAGTATTGTTTTCCTATTAACTTGGCGGTATTGATTAGTAATACATTTACTTTTGTATTAAAATTAAAATTAACCTTATTAATTAGATTAATAATCTTTGAGATTTGGAAGGATAATTTTAATTTGACATGTTAGTGTTTTTAACATGTTTTTACTTTAATGTTTGACTATTACAAATTTGAATTAGATTCAGATTGCATGTTTTAATTTATCTGTCTGAGTTAGATCTCATTAACATATTACGTAGTATTTGATAATATGTTATTAGCATCTTGATTAAATAAAGTAATTTAATACCCCGCTAAACGTTCCCCATAAATTAAAATTTAAGTCTCATCTGGGATAACGACATCACCCATCATAATTAAATTAGTAGAAATATTTTTTCGTTGAAGATTATTTCACCCAAGTGTTTATTCCATTCGACAAAATATAGAACTAATTTATAGATACATATGTTTGTGATCGTGTGATGGTTTTGACTTACTTAAATTAGGTCGAGTCGCCCAAGCGTCAGTGTTAATTTAAGGATGTCGATCAATTTAAAAATTGATCAACCAAGAATTGTTTGGACACAATTGGTCTAGGGACCTACCCATTATATTATTGCAGTGATCAGCCCAAGCTGGGACTGTTATAGTATGAATGTGGATCTTGGCCACTATGATTATGAAAACAATCTATGTTCTTTTTATTGGGGTCAAAGAGCATGAAAAATAGTGAGAGCTAAATAATTAAAAGTCCATATTATTTAGTTAACTAAATGTGATCATAGGAATTATTATATGAATTTTAATTCCCGTTCTATTTGAACTTCTTTAGGCTTTTAGGAATGTCGAATTTATCATTGAGAAGTATCTTGGATACATGCAAGCTCACTGGACCAAACTTTCTGGACTGGGAAAGAAATGTGCGTTTAGTTCTTAGACAAGAAAATATTGAGTATGTGTTAGACACACCGGTACCCAAGATTCCTGATGCCAACTCTCCTGAGTTTGCCACGTTTGACCTGACTGCTCGAGAGAAACACGTCACTGATGCTAAAACTGTGCAATGTGTTATGTTGGCTGCAATGTCTATGGAGTTACAAAGGCAACACGATAGGATGAGCGCCTTCGAGATGCTTGAACACTTGAAAAGTCTGTTTGATTCAGAAAGTCAGACTCTAGAGTATGAACTTCTGACAGACATTTTCAAGTGTAGGCTTCAAGAGGGTGGCAACGTGTCTGAGCACGTCCTCAAAATGATTGGTTTAATTGAAAGAGTTGCTACCACCGGAATTAAGTTTGAGGATCGTGTCTCAGCTGCTATCATCCTATATTCGCTTCCGAGTTCATTTACTAACTTCATTGTGAATTATAATTTGAACAAAACGAAAGCGACCATGTCTGAACTCCATAACATGCTCAAGTCTTATGAAGCCTCAACCTCTAAAGGAAAGACTGTTCTTATGGTAAGCTCTAATGCTAAGTCTCGTTCTAAGAACAAGAATAAGCAAAAGAAGAAAGGTAAGGTTGGACCTACTCCTACAGCTCTGAAGCCTAAAGGTGGAGGTCATATGAAGCCAAAGGTTGCAAAGGATGTTTGCCTCTACTGCAAAGAGAAGGGGCATTGGAAGAGAGATTGTGAGCTGTATAAGGCTAATCTAGCCAAAGCACCGGGTGCTTCAAGCTCAGGTATTTTTATCATTAAATAAATATGTCTATAACTAACTCTCATTGTTAAAGTATTAGATACAACTTATGGCTTACACATTTGTAAAAATGTGCAGAAGCCTGAGAAGCAGTGTAGCAGTTGGACTGGATAAAATTGACCTACGCGTGAAGGCTGGAGCAAAAGTTGCTGCTGAACGTGATAGGATCTTATAGTTTAGATTTGCCCGGTGGTTTTAGATTAGAGTTAAATAATTGTTATTTTATTCCTTCTATTACCAAGAAGATTATTTCCATTCAAATGTTAGACATTAAAAGATTTCTGTTTCCATTTTGATAATAATAATTGTTATTTTCGTAACATGGTGTTGTTGTGGAAATGGTTTTCTTATGAATGGTTAATTATTAATCGACATATTAGATATTAAATGAATAAAATAAAAGGATCTCGATTAAGTAATCAGAAAAATTACTACCTATCTATGACATTGCAAACTTGGTCAAATTAATGAAACAAGAATAGCAACGTTAAATAAATTAGATTATTTAACACCATTTGCTTTTGAGTCATATGGAAATTGTGAATCTTGTCTTTCAAGTAACTTGACTAATAAACCTTTTCTAGGAAAAAGGACAGCAAGCCAAAGAGTACTTAAGTAAAATTTCTGATTTATTTAAAAAGTCAAAGAATTCGGTCATAATGAACTCTTCTAGAACACCTTAGAAGTCTGGCGTTTCTGCAAGGAGAAATAGGGCTCTGTTAGACATGACTAGATCTATGATGAATTCATTTTCTCTTCCAAACATTCTTCTGAGGGTACACGCTATAAATCTCAATGTGCATTCTGAATAGTTTGATTAGTGCAAAACGTACTATATGAGTTATAGTATAATAAAAGACATTTTCTTCACATATTAAATATGGGTTGCCCTACATATGTACAGAAATGTGCACTAATCAAATTGAAAGCTAAAGTAACATAGAGAATGAAGATTCGTTAGATTGTCTAACGAAGGATTCAGTGGGAGAATTAAGTTGAAGAATGTCTCTAGGAGGATATCCTTCAGCTAGTGGGAGTAATATAGGAAGCGCTTCGCACCAGCAAGTGATTCTTATGAAGAAAGTAATGGCATGATTGTCTTTCCTTCTGCACCTAACACCCCCTCTCTGAGTATAGCACTAGAAAACTCTCTAAGCATTGGATAGTCCAATAAAAGAGAACCTCTTCACGATCAGAATGAACAGCCTGAACAAAAACGCAAAACATTCAACTCTGCGGGTCTACTAGGATTCATCATGAACTAACTAGGTTAGGCTTCCTCATGGAGGATCATGATGATGTTGAAATTCCTGACAAGGATGAACCTAAGACTTACACTGAAGCAATATTAGATATTGATTCAGAGAGGTGGCGAGAGGCCACGAAATCTAGAATGGACTTGATGTATATCAATCAAGTATGGAACTTGGTTGACTTGCCTGTTGGGTTAGACCCATTGGATGCAAAGGATTTTCCAGAAGAAAATTGATGCTGAAGGTAAGGTGCAAGCCTACAAAGCTAGGCTAGTGGCTAAAGATTATAGTCAAAGAGAAGGAATTGACTATAGTGATACCTATTTGCCAGTTGCAAAACTCAAGTCCATTCGGATTTTGCTTGTGATAGCTGCATAGTATGATTATGAGATTTGACAAATGGATGTCAAAACCCACTTCCTTAATGGAAACCTCAAGGAGGAGGTGTACATGGTACAACCTAAAGGTTTTTGCATCCAAGTCAAATTCTAAATCACTATGTTAATTAGAGAAATCTATTTATAGGATAAAACGAGCCTCTAGGAGTTGAAATATTGATTTTGATGAAATAGTCAAATCGTTTGACCTCATCAAATGAAATGAGAGTGCTTGCGTGTTTAGAGTGCGCAACAAGGATAGAGTGGTCTTTATAATCATATATGTTGATAATAGAGAATGATATCCCCTCATTGAAGTCTGTGAAAGAATGGTCACCCAAAATCTTCATGAATATCTTTTTGTCTATGGTAGACAAAAAGAACTAGTAGAATTTAATTATTCTAGCACTAGTTTCATGTATGATAAGAAAGATTGCGAGTCACAGTCAGTATATGTTTTTAGTCTCAATGTAATAGTAGTGCTGAAAGAGTTGCAAGTAAGAAACTACTATAAATTCGACAACTAGAGCCTAGTAATTTGTTGCATTTGATGCAACATAGGTAAGTGTTTAGATACGTTAGTTCCTTAAAGAAATAGGGGTAGTTCCTGGCGACAGTTATTCAATAATTGTTATTGTGACTGTACCGGTATATTTGCACAAGCTAAGGAACCAAGATGCAAAGTAAGGAACTAGAAAATACCAGTATGCTATTATGTTTTGATACAAATAGCAAGATGAGAAGTTGCAATAGAATGCATTCCCGTAGAGGACAATTTGGCTGGCTCATTCACCAAACCTTTGAGATGTGAGAAACACACTAGACTTTTGAGAGTCTAGGTGTTAGACACATCGGTGATTGGCACTAGGCCAAGTGGGAGATTGTTAGTATATATGTCCTAGCAACAATCACTTTTTAGAGATATATGTACTTGATCACATTCAGTTTTATATATTTGATATATACGGTATTACACATTGATGATTAAGTATTTTGATTGTCAATATCTTATTCATAATTGTGTTCCCTTGGACTTATGTTGTCAATAAGTAAGTGGGAACTTATATGATATCACATAAGGTCCTAAAATAGCCCCAATCAATGATCATCAAGAATGGGATATTGATGATATGCGATAAGATTGGTATGTGGACTGCATCATACTATTAGAAAGTATAGTTGATCTCACAACTATGAGTTCCTGTAATTCATGATGGTCACATAGATATTTTAGAGAATATTGGCATACCCACCGAGAAACCATTTGATAAGTTCTATTCATGTGTCTATGAGATTATCGGCGTATAGAGTAGTGTAATAGTCCTCCGACTTGAGGTCAATACGTACTACATGTGCGGAGTGATGTACTTTGACCATGACCAATGCTTGCACTCCAATCGGGGTAGATACGGCATGTGTTGGGTGCATCACGAAGCACATGGAGTAGTAGTTGAGCCAAGAAAGGATTCATTCTTCATAATAGATTAAGAGAGAACATTATACTTCTCATATCTAGATGGATCATAAAGTCATTGGCCAATGCAAAGATATATTCGTTTTGGATATCGAATATGATCGTTATGGATCATCTAGAAAGATTGAGAGACAGAGACTGAGTTATTGGGATAGACACTATATCATGTTCTAGACTTAGTTGAATGTTCGCTGAATGAAAGGACCGTATCACTATGAGCTCTATATTACAGGGAGTTTGTATAGTCCTCGCAAACGTCCTTATACATTAAGTTTGTCTGGAGAATCGTCTAGGGATTCGCTAAGACCTTAATTTGATTAGTGCTTAATATATAAGGCCCTATGGGTCACACAACAAGTGATTATACCTTCCGATTGAATTGTTAGAAGGAATTAAATATTATTAATTGGATTAAATAATATTTAATTCGTAATACTGAAAATGAATTAAATATTAATTAGATTAAACATATTTAATTCATGAAGCTGAAGGAGAGTTCTATTTGATAGAATTAATTAAGTAAGATAAATTAGATTTATCATACTTAATTAAGATGTATTTATTATTAAATAAAGTAGATATTTTCTTTTGTAATTTGGAATTAAAAGAAAAGTAAATAAAATAAATATTAATATATAATAATTAGAAAGTGGCGTGCAGCCACATCTCTATTATTATTATTATTATTATTATTTTGTTTTGTTTTATCTACTTATTTAATTAATTAGGAGTATTGGTCCTAGTAGGATTAGAACTCATTAATTAGAAAGACTTTCATTGTGATTGGGAAACTAGTTTCGAACTAGTATAAATACATCCTTCTCCTTCATAATTTGTAGACCAGTTTTTAGATTCAGTATTACCAGTTTATTTCCCCGCAAAGAGATTTCCTAGCCTTTCTCTTAGGGAGATCTAACCGTTCTTTCGGAGAGGAGAAATCACGTGGATACCTAAGGTCAAGGATTATCACCGCTAGGCTGGAAGATCTGTAAGTTCTAACTCAGATCTGTTATAATTATCATATTCGTTATTTTGTCATAATCGGGAAAGATCTGTTTGGGAAAATTTTTAAACTTCCGCTGCCGTACTTTCGAGGTACGTTACATCAATTTCCTAACAAATATTACATTCTTAACAATGTATTTGTTAGCTAAAATTAGCAAAGAACCAACCCAATGTAAATCGTCGTAAAATGATATCAACAATGTACTTGTATATCTATATGAAATCATTGGCATAATTTGCATTCATCCCTTAAAAATTGAAATAAACCGTTGATGATAATATTATTCCTAAGGGAATTAAAAATGTCAAAAGTATCACTCTAGCACAAAGTAACGTACTTTGATTCCTGATGATGGATATCCCTGACCTCATTGATATTTTCCTAAATGAGTATATATTTATCACGAAAGAAACCGTGATTGTTCATAATATATTGATAAAAGTAAGGGAAATTACTCTAAATAAGACTAAAAACATTTGTATATTCCAAAATAACACTATCATGTTTTTATTTCCTACAACAACAACAACCAAGCCTTAATCCCAAAAGAATTTGGGGTCGGCTAACATGAATCGATCTATGATATCTATGCCAAACAGAGAAGACGGACAAGAAAGGGAAGAAAAAAAAGTAAGATAAAACAAAGAAAATAAAGATAAATAAATATAAGATAACAATAACACAAGAATATAAGAAAGATAAAAGATAAAAAAAATAGAATAAAAACAGATAGAAGATAAAAATAACATAAGAATATAAAAAGATAAAGAAGATAAACGCTAAAAGAAAAAAGAGAAGAAAGGTAGAAAAGACATCAATCGTCCACACGGATGTGCGCTCTCCACTTTGCTCTCTCCAAAGCCATACTCTCATCCAACCAAAGAAGACGCATATCAGTTATGATTCCTCTAAATATGAGTAATTATTGTCATATTTTGGCATCACTAGACTTTAAACATGACCGTATTTCCCTAAGTTTGGCACTAATTACTCCTATTCAAGGAATATAATAAAAACATGAGAGTCATATTTTGGAATTCTCAAACATTTTTTCTCCTATTTCGGGAATTTTCCCTA